ATATAACATAATTCAAAGCTTGTTTCCAATAAATGTACCATAATTTCTACAGCTTCATCAGTCATAAGAATCCCATCCTTTTTTGTATGTGTCATGTCAAAGAGCTTTATTGATCCAACTTTACAACCAGACATATTTTCCTACAATGTAAAATAAAAACTAATTCTTGCAAAAAATTAATTAATAATATAACTAATTTCTGTTAGTATGTGCTACCAACTGTAAATCACTATGTGAATACTAAAAAATACCTCATCATTAGCTATACAAGCAAAGCTCTTTGATCCAATTGTGTGAGTAAACTTTTTTTGTTATCTGCTAGCAACACCAACATGCTCTCGGTCCTACAATTTGAAATATTTACTTATAAAGTCAATATTATAATGCCATTATATTATTTTTGAAAAATACATCATACATGTCATTTCTTTGAACTCCAAAACCTGAATGCATCTTCCCATTGATACCTGAGCATTCCATATGGGATAGTTTATAGCTTCTCTTCAAGGCTGAGATCATTCTTGAAGTATTTTTTTTAATGAACTCTTGTGGTATCTCTATCTCTTCCCTAACGCTTGCTTCAAATAATCGTCTGAGACCTCTAAAGAAAATTTCTCCTACAAATAACATAAGTGTTCAAAGTAAGTATAAATTACTATTGAACTGTTATAGATTATCTATTATAATGACATTATTATCTTAACAAAATCCAAAGCCTGATTTTTGTTACTATTTGACATTTCATGTCATGACTCATAATTTATCTGTAATAGATTATCATTACGTGCAACCATTCCTAAGTAACCGGATAAAAGACATGGTTCTAGGCTAATAGGTTGATCGACATCATTTCTTGAAACTTTTACACGATTCCCAGGAGGAAGTTGGTATAATTCCTTCAACGTTGCACGTCCTCTAGTCTTGCGTATTCGACCATTTTCAACTATATAAGAAATAATTAAGTGTAAGTTTTCAAAATGAACCATCAATTAAAGAAAGTGTCGAACGTTACCTTCAATTTCTACAGCTTCTTCAATAGTAATCGAAACTTCCGAAGAGTCAACAATAGTTGATTCCTCATTATTTGTTTCTTCCTCATCTTGAGAAGCTCGAACAATCCACAAATCACTTAATTTTCTCCTAGGCATGATATCTATAATAAACAAACAACAATTTTTTTGAAAATATGACTATTAATGAATATATTGAAGGACAACATGTTATAAGTTATAATATTATAAATTAATAAATTAATATATAAAATCTTACTACATTCTTATGTCATATCAATTCTCATAATTATCTTCATCTACGTCCTCCCGAACCTATTGAAATTCTGTAGTATTAGTGATAGTTTCATCTAAGTTTTGTGCTACAAAAGGTAAAGATTCTGATATTGTTTCATCATCTCTACTTCCATCCCCGATGTCTATCAAGTCTCTGGGGGTATTACGGAACACAACATACCAACCCTCATCCATTGGATCATGACAGTAAAAAACTTGTTTGACTTGAGAAGAAAATACATATGGCTCATCCTTCAATTGTTGACTAGTGTGAATTAATCGAGAGAAATTCACCATTGTAAAACCAAATTTTCTCTTTTTATGCCTCGAGTATTGTTTACATCAACCCAGTCACACCGAAACAACACAACCTTTCGTTTTCCATAATAATCCAACTCAATAATGTCCATAAGAATTCCATAATATTCTACATTTCCCTCCAAAAGATGATTGTCCCTGGCACTAGCATAACTTGTAGTTGAAGAAGTAACAACTACTCCACAATTTTGTGTCCTCCTTAATATTTCACGAGATTTTGTGTGGAACCTGAACCCATTAATGAGGAAGGCCTTATATCTTTTAATAATTCTATTCGGACCTTGAGAAAGCCATTTAACATCTTCACTAACTTCTCTCCCACTCCAAACCTATTACACGTGAAAGATGAATTAATTAGCATTTATGTCGATATATTAAAACAAGAGTTATATATATTAGTTACAACTATGTGCAATGACTTAGTTGCTTACCGTCTACCCTAACCATTCATGAAAAGTTTATGTGAATAACTTATGTATCTCTCACTGATGTAATCTTCAGAAGCATGCACGAGATCTCAAGACTTCTTTAAACTCATTATAAAGTATATTATGTCGTTAAAGAATGAGAAATATAAAAGATTAAGTAAATACATTAGGATTTAGTCCGTAAAACTTACATGCGAAAGGGATCTATTGAATTGTGATGAAAAGAACATATTTGTTTGCTTGTACCCAAGACTTATCATCTTAGTGTGCAATTTCAACTTTGTCGAATGGTTCACCATAACTTCCAAACAAATAAGTCTCAGCTAAGTCATTAGTACTGAACACATCATTTCTATTTGGTCTATTCAATCTTGTTTCAACATCTTCCAAATATCTAAAGCAAAATATCATACATTCCTATGCCAAATACCCTTCAGTAATTGATCCTTCGGATAACACTTATTACGACAGTAAGACTTCAATTTGCACAAGAATCAATACACAAAACAAAATAGTATGTAAATAGGTTTGATGAAGAGGTATAATCCCTAGTCATTTAATACATATAATTAAATTAATACCTCTAAGTTGAATTAGCAGCTGCACCAAAATTGTGAAGAATGAAGGTGAAAATATCTTCTCTAAGTTACATAAAGTCAAGGCGGCTCGATCTTGTAGTTTCTCAAGTTATTCAACCATCATAACTTTCCCACACATAGCTTTCATTATATTAGAAAGTTCAATGATACAAGACGTCACCTTACTCAACATGAAACTGCGTAAAGCTACTGGCAGTAAATCTTGCATCAATATGTGATAATCATGCGACTTTAAAGAATAAAGTCTTCGATCTTTAACACTGACACATCGAGATATATTTGATGCAAACTCTCTGGAACCTTTATATACTTCAACACCGTGCAAAACAGTTATTTTTCTTTCTTCGACATTGCAAAAATAGAATGCGGCAAGAAATATTTTCCATTAGGATGTAACTGCAGATTAAGATCATGTCGAATTCCGATGTCGACTAAGTCAAGTCGACTCTTTAGATTATCTTTAGATTTTCTATCGACATTGAGAATGGTCCCGATAATATTCTCACAAACATTCTTCTCAATTTGCATGACATCAAGATTATGTCTCAAAATGTGATCCTTCCAATAAGGCAACTCGAAGAAAATACTCTTCTTTTTCCACAAATCTACGTCATTTGGATCATCCTCTTCATCAGACTCATCATCACTCTGTTAGTCAACATCACAATCATACACCTGCTTTGCCTTTTTCTTTGATCGTGTATTCAGTGGTTGATTAATCTTTCTATAAGTAAACTTGATATGTTTCAACATGAAGAAGATATCAGACTCGGTTGTTTGCTCAGGAGCTTTTCAAAACTCTTCACTACAACAAATTTTCTTATTACTGGCATCTAGGTTATTGTCACTAAAACTTCAATTTATGTCACTAGATGTATTTTGTGACATAAAAGTCAATGTCACGACGATCGTCACGCTAGGTGTGTCACTAAATGTCAAAAATGACGATGTATGTGTTATCGTCATGTATTGTTAAATATATATATTGACGCTAATGGATAGCGTCACAGTTTAATTTACACTCAGTGACAATTACTTTTGTCATCAAATGATGTATATTTTCGTCATTAATAAATCATATCGTCAATAATAACACAATAATTTCATTGTATACATGACGAAAAGAAAATTGTCACATTTTTAGTAACGTGGTATATCATCACCTAATAGTAGCATGGATGACATTTATATATAACATCACTATATAATTAATATTCAATGACAACTAATTATGTCACTAAATTATGTAAAATTTCGTTATTGATGATTTATATCGTCATGAATAATACATTAAAATCAACATATATGTGACGAAAGAGATATTGTCAAATTTTTAGTGACATAATATAAATGTTACCTAATAATATTATGAATGATGTTTAGCATAACGTCACTTTATAATTTATATTCTATGACAGTTGGTTACGTCACTAAATTAAATAAGATTTCGTTATTGATAGCTTATATTGTCACAAATAATGCATTAAAATCAACTTATATATGACGAAAAAGATACTGTCACATTTTTAGTGACATAATATATCGTTACCTAATAATATTATGAATGATGATTATGCATAACGTCACCATATAGAATGTCACCAATATAGTGGCAAAACTAAAAATTGTCACATTTTTAATGACAATATATATTAAAATAAAATTATTTATACAAATCTAAATAAAAAAATAGCTCACTTATTGCAAAAAAAAAAGATTTAAACAAACATTTCACTAAAAACATAATAAATTCATTTCTATAAATATAAAAATGTTTAAATGTTTACAGAAAATAAAAATAATATGATAATAATATGACTCGTGGAATATTTCGTTGTAGCAATCTCAATCCAAAGCTTGTGTCGGTTGTAATTCTGTTGATGTTGAGTTCATGGTATCATTTGAAGCTACAAATTAAAATAATCATTATTAGTTACTACAATTAATATTATATAATAATTTTTATTTGATTAACTATATTGTTTACCTGAAAATTGAAGTGATGGCACTTGAATTACAACAGCTAACAAAGCAGATCTCTAGCTTCCATTTGAGTTTGAATCAATTCAAAATTCGACTTATATTTATTAAGTTCATCTTCTTTATTCTCCAAACTCTTTTTTAACTCGATTGTATCTGCACTTGAATTTGTTTTCTTAGGCTTTGGCCCATATCCAAGCCTTGGAATGTATCCTGATCTTGTACCAAGTACCTCATCCATTATATATCATCAATATTCTTAGGTTCTGCTCCGTCTTCAACTGGAGTTGATTGCAACTCCACCATTTTCTCCTAAAAAAAGTCATTCATAAATAAAATAATCCTTAGATGAAAAATTACAATTTAATACTTAATTTTGTGAGGTCTTACATATTTTGCTTGTGACTCAGATGTTGTCCATTCTTTGTCATTTGAACAATGAGTTGCCTTGAAGAAATCCATCCTATTTGGTTCTTCATCATCCTTGCGCTATATGATTTCAAAAAATAAAAATTAGACTCTAAAATAAAAATAAACTTTATAATAAATATCAAATTATCCAACTTACCATAGCATATCGGCTAGCGACAAAAGCCTGAGATACTTGATTAGGAGTTAACTTGACATTTCTTTTAATTCTTGCATTAGTTTCACACTTCCTCTTCAATTATAAACATGTATAAACATAATTTATAATTTATTATAGAAATAAAAAAAAAGGTAAAAATTTCATTATATAACAAAACCCACCAAGCATATTTCGATACGAGATTCACATATACTCAAAAGAAGCTAAATTTAAGGATGGAACTATGAACCTATGGCTTTACCACATATATGAAATTCCCAAAAAAAAATACTAACAAGGATCCTGAATCTCAAAATAGGTTGAAAATGAAGGTTTTAATCATAGGGAATCACATCCAAATTCCATAGGAACTTTGCTAATTAGATTAGAATTTACACAATTGAAATGCATCATTTAATCATGGTTGAATCACAAATCAAATCACAAACTCCTAATCTCAATCATAGATATGCAACAAATAACAAAAAAATGACGGTCTATGCAGGCATGCTTGCATCTATAAAATATATAAGCCTAACAATCAAAACATGAAGACGAATTATTATCATGATGAACAAGGGGGAAATTTAAAGCAACACCCCAAGTTTCAGAATCTTGCACTCTACTCTGCTCGTGATTGACCGGCACGAGATGAGAGGATGATACCGATAATGAGTCCATACAGAGCCAAAGCCTCGGCAAAAATGAGGATAAGAATCATCCCAGCAAAGAGCTTTGGCTGTTGAGCATTGGCTCTAACACCAGCATCGCCCACGATTCCAATATCCATGCCAGCAGAAAGACTAGAGAGGCCACAAGCAAGACCGGAGGAAAGATGAGCATAGCCATCGAAAAGGTAGTAAGATTTGGCCTTCGGGTTAATCCCAGTGCTAATAATAACCGCAATAATCAACCCATAAATACCCAAAACACCGGCCATAACAACGGGGACGATTGATTTCATAACCATCTCTGGCCTCATCACTCCCATTGAGGCCACTTCTACATCGCTCTTGGTCGTCCCATACGCAGCTCCCATACAGGAGAAAACGAGGGCATCAATAGCGCCGAGGAAACCAAAGAAAGGAGAAGTTTCATCACCTCTGAATGTGGAGGCCATCCTAGACTTTCAGTTCTTCAACAATTTCGCTGAAGATTTGAACAGCTTTGGAAACTATGTGATGGGTCGATTTCTTTCCAGATCAGAGGAGAGACAGAACCAGGAAATTTCTCAGAGGACCCACGTGAACATCTTTCTTTTTATTTTCTTTTTTCTTTTTTTGGGAATGTGTTTGGGGAGAGAGAAAATCGCCGAATAAAAATAATTTAATGTGAAAAATAATGGAGGGAATGGGCTATATATAAAGGGCTGAAATTAAGGCCCAATATTAAGGCATCCGTTTTGCTCTCATGTTTTCTTCCATTATTAAATATTGACTTAATAAAAAAACAAGTGTTCAAATTATACTTAAAATTGACGTTTAAAGAGTTTTTTTTATTAAAAATAAATGCCAATATTTTTTTCGTCACACTTTTAAGTATTTACCGTTAAGTGATATATGTCATGTTCAATTTTTTTAATTTTTTTAAAATAATATTTTATTTTAAAAAATAAAAATATAAACGTTACACGTGTCATTTAATGAGTTTTTAATGGTAGACACCTAAAAATTTAACGGATGAAACATAGATGCCTATTTTTAACGAAAAAAATTAGGCACCAAGAGTCAATTTTAAGTAAAATGTAGCCACTTATTTTTATATTAAGCCTTAAATATTTTTTCATTTTATGTCTAAATTTGGTTTCTAAATTCCTATTCTAGCTTCTAAGTTCATTTCAAGATAAATAGAACATAAATATTTTTAAACTATTAAACTATTGATTTTATTTTAAAATTATTAAAATTTAAATTCAACTGTTAAATAATATTTTTAATTTTTTAAGTATATATATATATATATATATATTATATATATATATATATATGTAAGTTTTTAATTGAATTAAAAGTTTAATGATTTCAATGTAAATTTTAAAAGTTTGATGATCAAATTACATGTATTTTTAAAATTTAGGGACTACGAGTGCTCTAAAAGTAATATAAAACATATTAAATAATATTAAAATTTAGAAAAAAAATAAAAGATTACTTTTTATGGAATAAAATAAATATATTCGGTACTTAATTTCTTGATGACTTATCAAACAACACATGACTAACTAAAGAATTTTGGAAAAAACACACGAGGCCCTTGTACTTTTGAATAAAATACAAGATTACTTTTTATGGAATAAAATAATGTGGTCCTCAATTTTTTCATTTAATGTGCTCCTCTAACTAAAAAACAAACAAACTCAATATGATCTTTTAACCAATTTTTTACGATGTTGAACGTTACTAAGGGTGTTTACTGTTCGGTTAAAACTGAATTAACACACTGAACTGAAATTTCAGTTGATTAATCGGTCGGTTAATTTTGGGTTTGGTCAGTTAACGATTAATAATTTTTTTCAAACTTTGATTTCGGTTAATTCAGTTCGAAATCGATTAATTAACTGAATTAATTGAAATTATTAAATATTTAATATATTATATATATTATTTAGCTTTAGGGTATTTAAACTTTGATTTCAACCGAATTAATCGAGTAAATCAAAAATATTAAATATTAAGTTTTAATATATATTATTTATAAATTTTGGTTAATTCAGTTAATCGAAATTATTTCGGTTCAGTTAATTTAAAAAAAAAATCAGTTCAGTTAATGGTTAAAGTGAAAAAGAATTCATTAATGAAATTTGGATAATTTGGTTCTATCAGATAACTGAATTACCCGTTTGAAAACCCTGAATGTTATGGTGCTGACATGATAATTCACGGTACTGACAATATTGTAGAAGAAAACAAGAAAGGATGAAAGAAACATATTCTTTACTTCATTCATCAATAACACTATATCAACACAATCTACACTACTGTATATACAACTCACTTACAACACTTTTGCTATTCAAGAAAACCTCCTAACCAGCTAGCTGTTAAGCTGTTAAGTTGTTAAGAACCTGCTAGACTAACAAACTTGTAACAACCTAGCTTCTAGATCATTTCTTTTTAACGATTTATTATTTTATGTTTTACTCTAAAAAAAACTATGAATGTGAGATAATCTAATTTAGAATAATGTCAATAAAATAAAAAACATAAAAAAAAACTCTATAAATTGCATTATTTAATAAGGTTGTTAGATTATCTTATTTTTTAGCATTAACTGACATAATTTCATAACATCTTTTAAAATCTTCATATAAAAAAGAGAGATAAAAACAAGTAACAAATAATTGATTTCGTCGTGTTAAAACTATTTTTTGTGACAATAATAAAATGTCACTTTTAGTGTCTTTAAAATATGAAAAATTAAATTGTCACAAATAAAACTTATTAGTGACAAATGTGCAACGCCACTAATTCAAATTCAAGCGTCATTATAATAAATCGTCCCTAATACTTATTTTTCATTGGAGACAATTTTACATCGTAGTTATTTTATCTAAATGTCACTAAAAGGTTTCCCATCAAAGAATTTGGTGGGAAGATTTTGACGCCAAACATATAGTGACAAAAATCAATGACTATTTTTAAAATTGTCATTCAAAATATACCATTAGTCAATAAATATGAAGAAAATAAAAAAAACGTCACATTATAGTATGTTTTATGACGATATATGTAACGTTATATAGAAATTTTATCATAAATTGACAAATTTGTTGCAGTAGTACCATCAAACATATTCTTTTGACTTCTAAATCTATGATTTTCAGCTAACCACTGACGATGTCCCATATAAGAGAACTTCTTTCCATTAAACAACCACTTCGAACATGTTTGTGCAGTACAACAAGGACATGCATAACGACCTTTGTTACATCAACTAGATAAATTTGCATATGCAGGGAAATCATTAATTACCCATAATAAAGTTGCACACAAATTAAAGTTCTCCTTCTTCAACACATCATATGTTTTGACCCCTTCCCATAACTGTTTCAATTCTTCATTAAGAGGCTACATATAAATATTAATATCATTTCCGGGACCTTTCTCTCCAGGGATTATCATGAATAAGATAAAATATGACTGTTTCATGCAAATCCACGGAGGCAAATTGTATGGAACAAGTGTAAAAGGCCAAGTATTATACGAAGTACTCATAATTTTGAAAGGATTAAACCCATCAGATGCAAGAACGAGCCTGACATTTCGAGGATCTCTTGTAAAACTTGGAAACTTTTTGTCAAATGACTTCCAAGCTAAATAATTCGCATGATACCGTAATAATCTGTCATTGGTTCTTCCATCATGATGCCACCTCATAGACTCAACAGTCTTTGAGGACATAAAAAGTCTTTGAAGCCTAGGTATTAGAGGAAAATATCACATAATATTTACTAATTTCTTTGTTGATCGTGCTTCAACTTCATCCTCACTCACATTTTTTGCGCCCCTAGTCATCCATCGAGATTTTTTGCATACATGACAAGACTCCTGATTTTTCTATCACCCCAATATAACAAACAATCATTCAGACAATTATGAATTTTCTCATAACCAAGACCCAAATCTTTTATCATTTTCTTCATATCTTTGCATGATTGAGGGATTTTTGCAAAAGGAAACATTTCTCCTAGAAACTCTAATAACTGCATAAAAGAGTTACCAGTCCACCCTCCCAAGCATTTTAAGTGGAAAAGACGAATGCAGAAAGAGAGTTTTGGATATTTTGATCCCTCATACTGTTGTTAATTCATTTCATCAAGCAACTTGTAAAACTTTTATGCTTCTCCATTTGGCTCTTCAGCACATCCATTTCTTCCCATCTCAGTGAAATCATTAACATCATTGTCACAATCATTTTCTCTAACAGATTGATGATGACTATTCATATTAAATGCATCTCACAACATACCTTACATGTTATCTTCTCTAACAGATCAATGGTGAGAATTAAAAGGATAAGTCGAATAACTCGTGGAAGAAGATCTATGAGATGTAAACTCTCCATGAAATATCCATTTTTTATAGTCCCGAACAAAGCCAAAAACAACTAGATGCTCGTAGACAACTTCAGGAATGTGCCAATTAAGGTTAGCACACTTCTTACAAGGGAAAAAAATATTATCTTGGCTTGCATTCACAAAAGCTAAATTTAGAAAAATTCCGACTCCATTTCGATATTCGTCGCTTACCCTTGACAAATCCGTCCAACTCTTATCCATTTCGTATTTCTGGAATATCAATTTCAAATGTTAATTGCTAATATTATAGAGAAAAATAAGCAACTAAACATAAGCTTTGCATTTCCTCCCTTATTGCTAACATAGTACACCTAACTTATTGGTGATACTTAAGTACAAAATAGAGAATTAAAGCCCCAATTGTAAAAAGCTTTTGATTTACTTGAAAATACAATTGTCGATAATTGATTGTTTAATGTGTAGATATGAGATAACAACAAATCGATGGTACTTAGATCACAAACCTCCAAAAAAACCTCCAGCAATAAAAAGAAGAGCCAACAAATCGAAATAACCAAGAGAAGCTTACCTCAACGCTGAACTAGAAAAAACTAACAAACATTCATCAATTCATGCTTGCCGAAAACCTCTATAATACATGAGCAGCACCAACATAAAAGATATGATTTTTTTAAATTTTCTATTGCCTTCAAATCTTGGACAAAGAAGAACCCCACTTTACGCTCACCATTGCTAAAACAAAAGAACTCATACCACCAGCTTCACCAAAACAAACTCCAACCAACCCCGAAGATCTTGAGCGAAACATGGAACGTTAAGAACGGACAAATCAAGATTAAATGCTCCTTTTACATACCAAGAGTGTTTGAAGAAATCCTCCAATATCAAAAGACCGACCACTTTACAACGGCTTTATTTTTTCAAACAACTCAAGAAGGACACCCCAAAACAGAGACTGGCCAACGTACACAACAACAACATAATTAAATTCCACAAGACATCACTACAGACAAACCAAGAAACTTATAGCTGATCTCGAAAATCAACATCACACGACTTACAACAACAATCAAAAAAAGAATTCTAACATCACCTTT